TTGCAGATACGAACACAGATGGAGAGAAGTATGTTGGTGTGCATGTTGTGTGGCCCGGGCGCTAGTTAATGGTAACGCATAGTACACACAAATGTGCCTGCGTGTTTTACTTTAATTTTGTTTTTTTATTTTGTTGTTGCAAATTTACTAATTATTGTCTGCTATTTATTCACACATAGTATATGCTCATACAAAAGCACACTGACACACACACACACACACACACACACACACAACATATATGTGTATAAGATCTTTCATCTAATAATACTAAGCCGCAAGCCCGAAACGAAAGACACTCCCGAATTGCCCGAAATACCGAAATACTATTGAAGAGGAAGGCAAACGCAAACGATAGGCAAATCAATAAAATTCTGACAGGCTCGTAACCAAGCATTAAACTAATACAAATACATATGCTTAGATTGATGTTATTTTCTATTTAGTATATGTTTTTTTGTTTTTTTTTCTCGCTATTTTATTATTTTTGTTTTGCATATTTGTCTTTCATTCTAAATATTCAGCAATTATCATCGTTTTCAATTGTTATGTATGCATTGTATATACACATTAGTTATCGTATTGTAAAGTGTTGAACTTTATATGCTTGCAGATTTGATTTATTTTGTGGTTTTTCTGAATTTGTCTGAGAATGTGAATTGGCAGTTTCAGATTTATATATTTTATTATTATTTCTTTCGTAGCTTATACAATTTCGTTTAATTTGTTTACATTAAAAACGCTTGGTCTAATAAAAGTTTTGCACTATTATGAAATTTATTTGTTGCTTTAATTATTTTCGTTAATATTTGATGTTTAACTCAATGGTGTCTAATTGCATTTGCTAAGAATATAATAAATTTATTTAAAATATAAGTTGAAAAAATTTCACCAATATACTTCGTTAAATGTTGATCTACGGCTTAAACCTTCAAACCGAGAAAATTGACCTATTTGCTGTGTGGCGATTTCGGGGAGTGGCAGAGAAAGAACGAGAGAGGCAGAGAGAGAGAGAGGGAGAGAGAACGAGAGAGAGGATAGAGACAGAGACACTGAATGCGTCAGTGTTTGCAAAAGTTGATAGCAAGGCATGAGAATAAACGTTCGCGTGGTCACGTTTTGTCAAATCTGTGAAAATTCAGTGTTCTTAACTTAAGAAATAAAACTAGTAAAAACAATGATATGTATTCGTTTATTGCCGAATATACAATGAAAACAAAAAAGTAAAATAAGGTACAAAACTAAGAGCTAAACTAAGCAATGACATACATAAATAAATGACAAAGGACACATACATACTACACATACATAAGTAAGTCCAGATATAGTAGTATTTATGTATAAGTATGTATAAGTACCGTCAGAGAACATCGAATCAAAACAAATACAAAATGATACATAAAAATACAACCAAACAAACAAAACAAAGTAAAACATTTGAGATTAGGTTTAAGTTTTTGTTTATTTTTGAGTTTGTGTTTGTGTTTGAGATTCCAAGTGCACCCTGTGCTTAGCATATACTCGTAAGATAGTATAATACGATAGGACTTAAAGAGAGCACGCCAAGTGCAAGTAAGGAAAAGAAGTCAAAGAGTAAGTTAAAGATTCGCTTAAATGCCATACGACTAGATTTTAGGATGGGAGCAAAGTAGACTGTAGACAGTGGGCTGTGAACGGTGTGTTGGAAAGAGTGTAAAGTGAACAGTGTTGAAAAGTTGTAAGTTGTAAGTTGTAAGTTGTAAAAGGGAAAATGTGAAAGTTACTCGTCTAAAGACTGGCGAAAGTCCAAATGTTCTGATTCCTGCTTATTGCATCTAGTTTTATTTTTTTTCTCATCTATTCAAGTATGAATTCTTGTCATGCTTATGTGTATAAGTATAAGTATTTACTATACTCGTAGCTTATACAGTTCGTATTTACCTATTTATTTATTTATTTGTTTATTTTCTTCTTTACTTTGATCGATGTTAATAATGCAGCAAACACTTTGAAAAATAAAGTTTTGCATTTGGAAAAAGAACACGTTACGATTTCGATATACAATATTCGATATTCAATACTCGATTTTCTCATTTTCCGAGTTAAGATATTTTACAGTTGCTTTTAGTTCAACTTGAGTTACATGCTTGCTGAACCCTGTACCTCTAACTAAGTATTATGAGCTGTGTTCCTTACAGATCTATCCTTACATCCTTAGATCATACATATACACATGTATATATGTATGTATGTACGTATCGCATTAACACTAACAACTAATGGCAATTTCCTTCTATTATGCATAATTTATCTTTTCATTACGGTTATATGTACGGATATATATATATATATATATATATATATATATATATATATATATATATATATATATATATATATATATATTTGTATATATCATCATAAATATATCAATCATTAGTCTGTATTTTTTTTATATATGATTTTACATTATATATTATTTTTTTGAGTTGCATAGATTTAAGTTTGAATTTAATTTTATTACTTATTTTCTCGCTTTACTTGGCTTGAGAAAAAAAAAACACGAACAAGCTAATTTTTTGTTTTATCCTTTTTTAGTTTCTCTCTAGACCTGTAGTGTCGTAATATTTTGTTTTCCTTTAAACTAGATCTTAGCCTTACACATATTTGGCTATAAGCAGTTAAAAAAAAATTACGCTTAAATTACTTGTTATCGTTATTGTTATAATTATTGTTTTTCTCTATTAAGTTGTATAGCGACCTAGAAATTAGGTTTCTTTTGTTTTCCAATTACTTTTATTATCTTTAAACCTTCTTGGCTAAAATCTAATGCGTCTTTGAATATGCTGTAGTGAAAGAATCAAAATAATAACTATCAAATTGAAAATATAACAAAAATAATTATGCGCTAAAAACAAAGATTTTCTTTCTGTTTTTCTTTGTTCCTGTGTTGTTTATTCTGTGTGGGATGAACGACCCTGCAGACGATGCCTGTTGGCGAGACCAAGTCCAGGTTCTGAATTGCCGATAGTGTTTTGAGATTCGTAACATTGGCATTGCGGCTGAGTTGGAGCTGCCCTTTCTACTACAGGGTATACGAGTATTTGTTATAAATGTCTACATAAGTATGTAATTCTAGAACTATTTAGCTGGCAGTGATATTTGCTCATTGGCTTGGTTTCTTTGGCTGTGTCTTAAACGTCCTTATGAGAAAAGAGTGTGCAACAGAGTGGGAGAGAGCAACTGAGTCACACGTAAAGTAAGAGACGGATATATATATAGAGATTGAGAGAGAGAGAGATAAGATTAATGCTGTGGCCAGGAAGAAGGCAGTCCGGTTATGCTTGTTCCAACTCAAATAGAAAACTTTTAATGCGTTTGCGACTTGTTTGGTCCTTTTTCAGTTAATATTGAGTGATTTTCTGTTTCTTATGGGTGTTTCTGGTGATGAACAAAAACGAAAACGATTTACATTAGAGCTGGCTCAGGCTAAGTCTTTTAACGGATCGTTTAATGGAACCTTAGAAACAAAGTGGCGCTTCAAAAAGTTTTCTGGACGGATATTACAATTTGTAGCACATGATGTGGTCAATTCGATATTCGATGTGAATAAGAAGTTCTAAGCGTACACAAGTATATTCGAGAGATTGTACCCGCTGCAGATGATTCATATTTGTCTTATGTGTGTATACCCAGCAAGATATTGAGTTCTTCTGAGATTCATCAGTTGTTCTTCTATAATCGGCAGCTCGGTCTTCAGCACTGCTCCAACAGCTGCAATGCCAATGTGAATTAGAACAAACTAAAAATGAACAAAAACATTATCGGGCGAGTGAGTGTGTGTGAATGTGTGTGTGAGTGTGTGGGTGTGTGACTTCAATACTATGCAATCAATTTGTGACAAATACTTTAATTTATGTTGTTTGTTGGTCTATAGCGTACAATAATATGCGTAATGTGTAATTTGTAATTATAGCAATTGGGGAATATTATGAACTATGTTTTTTTCTGGTACGTTTTTTTTTTCTCTAATTTCCTCAACTTTTCTTTTTTGTTGTTGTTAATTTAATTGATTTATGCTATTAATGCTGATGAGCTCGCTTAAAAATTCCACACTTGCGGCTTAACAATGATGCTTAATAATAATACGCAAGCTGACTTCCGTTTCCGTTTCCGTTTTCCATCTATGCTTGCACATGTCTGTGTAATTAAAAATACGCTTAATGAATGTGTTTTTTTTTGTATGTTTGTGTGTGTGCTTGCCTTTTTTCGTAGTATTTTTTACTATTATAATGCTTATGGTTGTTTGGTTATATAATGATGCGCGCTACAGATTCACCTAATTTACTATGTATGCATGTATGTATGTATGTATTTATGTAAATGTAAGTATCCTCGGCATTTAAGTATTTTTGGTATTTTTGTTTAGTATTTGTTCTCATTGTTTTTGTGGTATTTATGCGTACTTCTTGTAGTTTGTATTTTATTTTCTCCATTTACTAAACTGTCGCTGATATTTATTGATATTTTGTTGTTCTTTACATTTAGTTTGGTATCATTTTTGATCTTGTATACAAAATTGGTTTTCCTTTTGGTTTTTTGTATGTATTTGTATTGTTTGTTTTGTGTTTTGTTTTAATTTTTATATAATTTTTGTTTTGTTTTTGTTTTTTGTTTTTTAGCGGGTAATACAAATTCTTAGATTTAGAAAAAAAAATTTTTTATATTTATATATATATATGTATATGCATACCATATATGCATGTGTATGTATATATGAGTAGCTTTTATATTTAGAATTATTTATATGCTGTACTTAGTTAACCTACATTCGAATACATGAACACTTCAAGATATCATTTTTGTTTTGTTTTAATAAGTGATTTAATTGAATTGAATTTAGACTAACTTTTTGTTTTTTTTCCTGCTTTTTTTTGCATCTTTTTATTCTTTTCTTTCGCTTAACTCATTCTATTTTAATTTTTTTTGTTGTTTTTTTTTTGGTTTTTTATATTCACTTATTTTGTTTTTTTTTTTTAACAAGACGAGAGACGAGCTTTAGTTTTTAGCTACTCTTCTCTTTCTATGCTTGAAACAGTTGCAGCTGTTGTTGTTGTTGTTGCTGCTGTTCGTGATGCTTTCGAGTGATTGCAGTTGCAGTTGTTGTTGCCGCTGCTGCTGCTGATGTTGTTGTAGTATTGTTGGTTGTTAATACAGAAATGCAATTATATTCGCGGGCGTCGTCTCGACTTCTTTGGTGTTTGTTGTGTTGCTGCATGACAAGCAAAGTGAGGAGCAGGTTGAGTGTGCGATTTGATGGCGTCTACGGGGGCGTATGAGTAATGCCGCGTAAATGTTGTGTGTGATGTTGGTGTGTGGTGAAGTTTATATTTATGTTTGTGATGAGTGTGTTTGTGTGTGAGTGTGTGTGAGAGAGAGAGAGAGAGAGAGCGTTGTTTCCTCTGCTTTCCTTTCCTTTCTTTTCCTTTCGTTTCTTCTGTCTTTGTGTTGTTCTTTCCTTCTTGGTTCTTGCACACACTTTGTCCTTGTCCCTGGGCAACTTCTATTTTCATAACTTTTTGACTTGAATCCATGGGGCATGCACGCAGTTGCAGGCGCCACGTGCAACTGCTTGCGATGTCCTTGGGCGCTGGCTGAGCTGGCTAGCTGCAGCTGCACCCAAACTCCGTTTCCTGCTGCTGCTGCTCGTGATTGTTATTAATTCCTATCAATATCATTATCTTTTCGATCTGCCTTTAATGTTCGTTGTTGAGTTTTTCTTTTGTTGGTTGATTCGTTTCCTTACTTTTGACTTTTAGTTCTGGTTCGGCTTAGTCCGCTTTCATTCGTTGTGTGGTTGGGTCTATTGATATCTTATCTTTATCTTTATGTTAATCTTTATCTTTATCGTTATCTTTGTCGTTATCGTTATCGTTATTGGTATTGAGGTGCCTCTGTGCTTTACTCTCTTGTTGATTGAAAATGACTTCGATGTGTTAGCATTGACGATAGTTTTTTTGGTTGTATTTGTAAGATACGTTTTTTTTTCAGTTTTATTTTGAACTTATGAAGCGGTTGCTGCTGCTGTTGTTGTTGTACTAAGTAGTTGAATGTTGATGTTGTTGTTTTTTATATAGAGACGACATATTGCATTTTGTATTGTTTCTAATACTCCCAATATCATGCATCCTGTATTTCACCTTTCAATCCAGGCACCCTATGGTGTTGGTTATGTCCTAAACGATTCGCTAAGTCCTGTACAACATCACGAAATATAACTGTATCTATATTTTCACCTAATAAATACAACAAAAACCAATCGCCCATCTTGGAACGACGAACGATTATTTCAATAGCGTCACGACGCACTAACCTGAAAAAATCGAATAGAAAAACCAGTGTTAGAAAGGGTTAAGTGAATTATTCGTATGGGGACTCACCTAAATCGCATTCGAAATAAATAGACCCTCATTCGAGGCGAGAATATAATAACCACCCTGTATATTAGCGTTAATAATGTGAGTAACGTTAATAATATAAACCAAAACCAAAGGAAAATGTAAATTTTCTCATTAACAACGTTTAATGGTAAAATGCAAATGGCGTCGTGTTTTTCCACCTAAACCAAAAAATATACAATAATATATTTAAATAGTATAATTATTATCAATCATTTGGAGCAATTACTCACCTCCCCACTTGAACCATATTTAAAAAATGTACATTTGGTCATTCTGGGAAATATGTAAATCATCGGATCCATGCGATCTTCCTGATCGGTCTCCATATAATCTATCACATCCAAGCCAAATGTCATAAATTCGCCATCGAAAAATCGATTCATAAGAAACATTTGACCTATGCAACAAAAACGACAAATATACACAGAAATATATATTTACACATATGTATGTATAAGTAAAAGATTGGCCGACGATAATATGTACTATACGATATGTAGACAGTGTTTATAAAGTAAATTGGCGGGTATAATTTATGGGTTTATTGCTGCCCCCAACTTGCTGTCTGTGTGTGTGTAAGTGTGAGTGTGAAAATGAGTCTCAGTGTGTATGAGTATGAACTCAGAGATATCTGTTATTGTTAACAATCAAACAATGTCAGTCAGTCAATTATAGAATATGAATGGGTTCACCTTTCCGGTTCCCGGTTTATTGAATATTCAGGGGAAAAAATTACAAAATGTAATAATCAATCATTTGTTGCTTTGATCTTGAATGGGGTTTTGAGGTTATTCGATTGATCCTTTACTTTAAGGTTCAAAAATCAAAAATCAAAATATGTTCTTTATCGGTTTTAGGCCAATTTATCGATGCTCTGTCGGCTATCGATTAGTCGATAATTTGAAAACATATTTCCATTTAATTGATACCATTTTCTTCACCAAATTATAAAATTTTAAAACCGAGCAAAACCTAAAGTCTATAAAACCCAGATCTATCAGAATATCAACGTTTTCAAAATCGATTAATGTCATATGTTTTGTATCGATTTTCTCGCAATCGTTGCTCTCATAAGGTATCGATGAGTTTAAATAAAACAAACCAAAATGAATCGAATACTATCTATTATACTCGACATCCTCACCCCATAAGAAAAGATTGAATTGATTCGATTGTTTTTCGAATTTTCATTTGTCATACATACACAAACACATACGTTATACATATACATACATATATATATTTTAAACTTAAAACAATGCAAACTATAAATTTAACTTTGTTAAATGGGATACATTCCCCCCACATTCCCCACCGCAAAAGGCGTTTCTTGTAAACTCATCAGCCGTCAACATTCAATTAGTCTGAACTCTGGCTATTTGTTAATACGTATACTTGTGCATGTGCATATAGTATTGGTGTATTCTATAATTGTTTATTTCTCTATTTCTTATGTATTCTGACAGTTAATTATTTTGTTAGATTTCCGATTGTAGCGCACGTGGCGCACGTTGTCCGAAAAAAAAGAAGCCAGGAATCCGCAGCAATAAGGAAAATTTGTTTATTTTGATGCGGCCTGCGGCTACGGTCAGTCGATAAAAATTCGTCATTGATTTTCCTCGGAAAATGAGTGAATGAATAACGAAAGCTCTATTCGGGCATATATGTATGCTGTATGTACGTATGTATGCTGTATTGTGTGTGCATGGCATGAGTTTGGTATATACTAAAGATATCGTGTATGGTTAACCCCAAATTTGTTTATTGGATTGTGCAAACTGGAACATTTCTCTGCAGCCCATAATGATCACGAGCAAGCAGATGATGCAGATGGATGATGGATTATAGATGATAATGATAATGATAATGCGGCTGTTACTCACCTATCACATTTATTAGGGCGAGCAGTTCACACACGTAGTATCTGTACGCCCACCAATTGTGATATCTAAAATGAGAAATTTTGATTATAATGGACCATAAAGTAGAAAGTGGGCATTTGCTTACCTTAAATTTTCCCATAAATAATCTAAAAGTAATTTCTTTTTTTGTTTTTTCTCGGCTTCGGAACAAATGCCTATATCTAAGTCCATGATGAGCGCATGAATTTTGCCACCCTCCCAAGACTTCCACAGCCATCTTGGTGTGTAAAATAAGATTGCCTGCAAAAAACAAAAAAATAAGTAAATAGAGAGAAAATTGCTGAGAAACGCAGATATAGAGATAGAGATGGAGACAGAGATACATATGCGCATAGATATATAAATATATATGTGTATAGGCATTAGTTCTGTAAAGGTGAGCTGTTGCCTTTGTGTGGGCGTCTGACGCATTGGAATTGTCGTAAAAGCGCTTAAATTTGACAAGTGACAATCGCCAGCTGTTTTCTTAGGCATACGCCATAGAGAATCCCAGGCGCGTAATTCCAGTTAACAATGCCAAAGGTATTATATGCTTAAGATTGCCTTTGGATGACCTTCCTAGATGAGTGCTCCCATGCATTCCTATAATTATTTGCTGATTTCGATACTTGGACAGACAGACAGACGAACAGACAGACAGACAGACAGAGAGACAGACATATTTATATGTATGTATTTATAGACATGTCATCAAAACAATTAGCTGTGATCCATTAGCGAAAGTAGAAGCAACAAAAGACACATATGCGACATGCGAGAGATACACAGAGACAAAATATTGTTGATGAAGAAACAGACTGTGGCAACGGCTAAGATCTTGCCCAATTAAATGGATCTCTTGTCGGACATTTGGTATTTATGTGCGCTCTGATGACATATTAATAATAACTTGTATCGTAAATTTAACACTAAATTGTGCAAATGTTTACTTTGGCGGCCGCACCTCGCTGCGGTTTGCCCAGCTCGATGTGGGCAGGTGCTAATCCCTGAATGCTCAGGGAGACAATGGCTTAGTGGACGTGGCATTCTAATGCCCGTTGAGGTGAGAGTTCAGTTTGTTTAGACGGTTGCCCAAATGGCGGCTGTCCGCGCCAATCTCACGTCTGCCTCGTCTCGTCGTCTCGTCAGGCGTCGTTTTTCCATTTTCCATTTTTCAATTTCATTTCGCATTTGGGTTTTGGTGTTGGCAAATGCTATAATAACTAAATAAGTCTATAGAGCCCGTTCGTCAACGTCATGACGGGCATGGTCATGGCAACATTTGAATTTTGCATCTGTTGCAACAATACGACTTTAAAATCAAAATTGGCGTCGCCGCATACTTTTATAGCTGGCAACATCTGCGGCACATTGTATCGCCTTATGACGGCAAGAACACAACAACAAAAACAACAAAAGCAACAATGGGAAGCACAAAAGAAGAACCAAAACAAATGGACAAGTGATGGGCTCACAGCTTGCAACGCCTTGCCGGAAGTCAAATGATGCGTTTGATTTGGTTTTTGCCTTATGCTAGTCTCAGCGAGCATTTCCCTTTTTGCTTGGCCCTCATTGGGGGCATATTTCTATTTGTTTTCCTCTCGCCATCTCTGGCTACTGCTCAAGTTGCAAATTGGCTTGGCCCGACGACATGCAACAGTAATAATCAGAACAGCATCCAAAATCCTTGTGGGTGCCCGGGCAAAAGGGCTTTCAGCTAGGGGAGGGGAGCACTGACTGGGGGCGGGGCTGCGTAGCGGGACGCATATGCGTGTGTCTGAAAAGCAATTTGGCAAGCGTTCAAATTGCCATAAAAATATCGCATAAATGCAACTGCAATCAAAGCAAAATGAAGTAAATACCAACAGCCGCAGCCAGCGAAAGAAAATGCACCAAAGTCGGCGCGTCCAACACAAAAGACGCACAGTGGCGCAAAGGTGGCAGACCTAATACCAAAATATTATTTAATATATGCTCAGCTTCATAAATAACATCTATCAAGAAAGTTCAAATGTATTTTTTATAATACAAAATCTAACAAGAAAAGAGTAGGCAACAAATCCAGATTTTTCGCTGCGGTAAGACCCCAATGATGAAAACAATATCTTTCTACTATGCTTTTTTAAGCTGCTTTGAAATGTATCCTAAGTCGATTTTAATGTATGTAACGATTATGTAAAATCAATCAAATAAGTCATTATCACTTATTCTGAACTTTGCTTTAAAAGTTTTTAAGATTTTTATTAATAAAATATTTTTTTATCAATTTTTTGTCTTTAAAAATGCAGGAATATTATACAAAAATAATGTAGCACCTGATTGCAATCGATGGGGCGTAGAGAAGCGTATTGCATGTTAAGATCTACGTAAAAACGGTCCACGGACATGAGACTTTCAATCCAACTAGAACGAGTTTTCATTTTTGACCGATCGTTCCTATCGCAGCAATATGTTATGTTGATAAAATGTTGCAGATATGTAAGCAACAAGAAAAACCAGAGAATGGAGAAATTACATAAAAATCTTAAAAGATTTTCATACAATAAAAAGAGCTTTAATTGTGACATATTTGTTGAAAAGTTGATTGGCATTTAAACAATAAAATCAATGGCATTGCATTTAACCTGAGCACAAGGTGCGCAATGCAATGAAGCTAAAAGAAGTGGTGAAAATAGCTATATAAAGTAAAAGGAAAGTTTGCATATTCAATTAGGCAAAATAATGTAAGCGCATTGTGGCCAGTGGGGGGCCCAAGTACAAACAGTCGCATCCAGCTCCAGCATGTGGGCGGGCTGTCTGCTCGACTAAGGCTAGATCTGTAGAGACTGGAGGCAAATGGCGAGTGTGCCTGTTGCCTGTTGCCAGTTGCCAGTTGCCGGTTGCCTGATCCCGGTTCCGTGTTGGCTCCCCACTCCCGGATGGCGTGAATAAAAATAAAAGCACATAAGTCAAATATAAACACATGTCCGTGCAACTCTGGTGGGGAGTCCAGCCGACGTTGGCGTCACGCTGCCAACCCGTCTCCCAGCACACACGAACTTCGAAACAAACCAAGCCAAACCAGCCCCAACCCCTACCCTAACCCCAACCCCAACGCCAATCCATTCCATCCCAACGCAGCATAGCTACGCAGATTCGTATCGCATCTCCGCTCCGCACTCTGCTTTTCCATTCGGGCCAGATTTTTGTTTCTGTGCGCTGGCATTTGGCCAGAATTATTATTTGTTCACTTTTATGTTTGTCTGTGCCTTTTCAATAAATATCCAGCTAGGCAAAAACAAAATAAAAAAAAGAAATTTCAATTTTTGACATATTTGAGGGGAGCGCTTGATCGATATGAACCGATCGGGGACGGAATCGAAATCGAATTGGAATTGGAAATGAAAGAAAATGATCAGGGAAATGGGCATGGCAAACGAAGGGGGGGGGGGGGGGGGGGCGGTATCGTGAACATGCTCCTACTGCAGGCAATTTTGCTTTTAAATTTAATAGCTGCATTGTCCAACTTAATGGCCTGGCCATTAGTGAGCCCGATCAAGTGTTGGGGATCAGCAGATGATGGTTGCCGCTCGATCCCCACCACCCACTCGCATTCAATTATGATCCCTGCATCGGGGTCCTGAGATCGAAAACATGTGTATATACTTGTAACGCTCGATCTATCTATCTATCTGTCAATCTATCTAGCTATTTTGGGATATGGAAAGTTAACTATGTTGATTGCAGGTGTTCTGTATAGCTCTATATAAGTAGTTGTTGTCCACAGATTTATAGCTTTGCTCGTTTTCTCGTGGCATTTATGATCGTTGACTTTTATTATTTATGCACACATACATATACATGCATGTATACATACATACTTATTGTTGTTGTTATATACATATGTGTGTAGATGGCAATGCTTTAAAAACTGCATCCATTCGATTTCAGGTCGCATCCGTCGCACCCGTCGTCTTTATTAATAAATCCACAAATTAAGCAGAATGGAAAATGTGTAAATTATAGAAACGCCGTTCACGCGTCATTAAGCGGGGAGAATACCATAATAAATGTATTTATAGTTATTTGGGTGACTATGACGGCGGCGTCTATAACCGCCGATGTGACACTAACCGAGAAAAGCAACGAGCCCAGCGAGGCTCTGCCCCCTCTGCCACACACACACACACACACACACACTCCCACAAAAGACGAGTGGCAACTGTGACAAGAGTGTGGTAAAAATATACATTTAATATTTGTACATTGTTAGCGGAAAGATATATCATTGTGTAATCGTTCAGCGCCCCTAGCCGCAACTCAGCTTGGACTGGCTACTCGACGGACCCCCCAACCCCTTGGTATGTGTGGTGGACAGCGGCGACAGCGGGAACAACGTCATATTTAACGATCTATTATTCTTGTGACAAAGTAAGTCTCTCGACTTAAGTAATTAAAATTATTATTTTGAACGCATTAGAAACCTAAAATATAAAACTTGTATTTTTAGAAACCATCATTTCTTTATTAACTTCTCTTTTTGAATACTTTTGTATTTAATGGGCCTTAAGGCATCAATTAAATTAAAATGTAGTGCACAAGCTTGTATATTATGACTTGGCCCGAGTTTCTGGTTTGAATAAAGACCATGGATAAATACAACATTGTCTTCTTATTTTCTATATAACAATTTTTGATCGGTTTGCCAGTGTGAGGTATATGATATAGTTGCCTGATGCTGATTAGTTTTTCTTGTATGTTTCAGGCACAGTTCAGTTCACAATTCCTGAACCAAACCAGCATATATATATATACATTTTTTCAGAACGAGTGTTCTATTTGGATTCCTATTATCAACTTAATATTCGAATTGGATCGCAACATGATATACCTAGTTATCCTTTCTTAATGAAATTTACTCATTTAGTAAGAGTCTAGCGAAACCCGTAAAACCAGACCATGCCCATAACCAAGACAAATCTCAGATTGAAAGTCCCTTTTGTGGGGTCACAATCTTAGGTTTATTAACTTCAAATCATCTAAGCTCTTAGTACGCTGATTACAGAGTATTTCGTAGCTGTTTATAAACGATTGCAATGCTCTTCCTTTCTATTTTGTATAAGGATACAAATGTTCTGGACTAAAACTCACGAGATGCTTTAAATTTCGAGAGACGGCTCTTCTAGACTTCACTTGGAGGAAGCTAGGAGGATCCAGGACTATATTTATATGGATAATATTAATAATCTTTGGCTGGGAAGGTGTTGAAGTATAAGGACTTT